GTGTGCCTTGGCAGTCTCCTATTCGCCTGCTGGCTTTTTACTTACAAAACAAAGCAAGAATAACAGTCTGTGTTCCTTTTGAAATACAAAACATATTTTGTATTTTATAGCTACAACATTAGGGAAGGAACTCTACATGATTAAACAGAAAGAAAATAATATATTGTTTATTCTGTCTAATTTTACCTTTCTTCAAACTATGAAATAATGGATATTTTTTCTTATTCATTCCTAAAAAGACTGCCACCAACTCATTTAACCTGTAAGAAGTTTAAGGCATGATGACATGGCTTTGTTTTAACCTGATGAACGTTATCTCACACCAAAGCAATACCCTTTTAGGGTTAGTCAAACATAAATTATTTATGTATCTGCTCCCATATTTAATGGGTACTTCCTTGACCCATGCTAAATTATTCCACCAGGTTAAACCAAAATTGGGTCAGTAGCTTTTCAATAATCCTGCTGGCGGACAGACAAACAAACCGAGACTATAAGAAATAGTGTTAATAGATACATGAAGAGGGCTTGCGTCACTGATTATAGGAAAAACAGACCAACAACTAATAACGAGTGTCTGAAGAGTCATGTCTCCCCATCCCGTTAGTTCACACCTCGTGACGCCGCCCAACAACAGCGAATCAGGGCACCATTAGGATTAGGCAATGGAGAACATAAGGCAGCTTTTCCTCACTGAGGCTATTGTGTGGGTTTTTTGGTCTCCCGGAGTTGGAGAAATTGGGTTCAATTTTGTGACTCACAGATTCAATGACGGCCAAATCACAGAAGGGTGTCACGTCTGAAAACACAAGCTGGAGTTGTGTGGATTAAATGCAGAGCTGCCGCCTTGATGGCTGTTCTAGCCCATGCTGGGATATCAAGACTGATGCTAACAATAATGTTTTCTGATCTGAATTAGCACTTTACCTTTTCACCTCGCTCTCCCATTTCACCCTGTTGGGAAAGAAAGCAGAGTATTAGACACAGAAAAGCTCACAGGGAGTTGGCTTCAGTTTGGGAATTATTGCAGCCACTACAGGTCAGATAATATCTGGGGTTAAATTCAAGTTAGATTATGGAAATCATCTTGTGTTATGGCTGCTTTTCCCCAGACAGACCCTCTAGTAGCAGCCTTTTGAAGTACTTTTTAAACATGCAGAGTCATGACGTAAAATGTTCAATCAAAACAAATTGACAGGCCAGAATGCTACCTAAAATGTAGATGAATTAGAATAATATATGTAACCACCAATAGAAGATTCAATTACACAGATGTTGAGGTAAACGTTCGCATTCTTATAGTAGAGAATATGGAGCATGCAGACATGGAATACAACAGATGAATACAGAGGTATGTTTCTAAAGAAAATGTAAAAAGATCAAAGTATAATGAAGAAATCTTGCAAGAAAAGGGTCAAAAGGTTGAAAAGTGATATAATCCTTGGAGGGAAAGGAAGAAAAATTATGAAACTTAAAATAGAAAATATATCATCCCCATGAATTTACAAAATTAAGAGGGCACAGAGTTTGTGCACCAGACCTTAGCTCCGGGGACTCCGTCCACTCCTGGGATGCCAACATCCCCCTATGGATAGCATACACACAGTGGCTGTTTCAGCAGTGTGAACTCTTTTTTAAGGTTAGCAGATACTCAAAGTGTCACATGTTTGTCGTTATAGAGAGATAACCTCTAACCTGAGCAGAGGTCACTGCACAGGTGTTATACATTTGCAGGGTAGTATAGGATAGATTCTATCTCTATTGCAAGGAAAGGCCTTTCCACATGTTACTGTACTACTGAATAATTTCCATGTAGAAGTCCAAGGAAAGGAGGATAAACAGGCTGATTAAAAGCTTAATTATCTCTGGTTTGGTTCTCAATATGAGCAAGAGAAGAAAGCCAGGTCCTTGTGATGAATGATGTCTGTTCTCACAGCGACTCTGGGTCTGGATCATGGTTCTCTGTGGGTCTTAGTCTGTGTGTTGCCAAAAACAGTAAACCTGTTGACCTTTGGAATCTACAAACCATCATTAGTCTTTTAGAAGAAGCAGGTATGCCTCAACCAACAGAGACCTTTAAGACGATGCCGATACATTTATTTCATTTGATAAAATAATATTCTTTCTCAAATAATGACTATTACATTATATTTTATTATAAATATTATTAGTTTGCATGCTTAGGAGTCATTTGAGTAAAAACATGAGTTATTTAAAAATGCAACAAAATCCACCATTACAGAAAACATTGAAATCCTGGATCTCCCTCCAACTCCTATATTTTCAATGTAATGTAGCTAGGACGTGACATGTATATACATTAAATTAATATACATGGCAATGGGCTTCTCAATACTGGAAAGAACAACTGGGTTAATGGAAGCACTTTTTTCCATTTTCTTTTCCAGTGTATTGTTTCCAAATGCTTTGTTTTGATGACGCATAGTGGGAATACAATTGTGCTACATTATGATCTCAGTACGATGAGTGTCTGTTTAGCTCTACAATGGTGGGGAAGCTCTACAGGAATAATCATCTATCAGCCCACATACTGTAAGGGCTATCATTGCCAAAATGATGATGGAGTCTGATTAAAAACTCCTAAACTGGGGCTGATAAGCTTTGCATTAGCAATCTTCCTATTTGGTGGATATCTGTCAGATCAATACGAGGTCTCCATCACTGCTTTAGACTTCAACCTTCTGCATGAGTGACAGTAACATACCGTAACAGATTCTCTTTTTATATATGCATTGAACAGAGTTTTATTTCATGCTGGCAACCCCCCCCCTTAGCAGAAGTATGGAATTAGGCTTCTCCAGAGTCACTATAGCTGCCATTCTGTTTCCTATTACTGACATGCGTGCCTCTGCGCTCATATCTTTTTAAAAGCATGCTTGAGAAAGATGGCGCCCCTCGAATCAACTCCCAATTTATTCTTGTCACTCATACCGTTTGTTCTGGAATAACTATCCTTTTATACCCATTGTGAAACACCTGCACTGTGTCTTCTTTAATCGGTTTGAGAATGAAACACTGAAGTGAGAGCAGATTCTCAGGCAGCTGCAAATGATACTTTGTGGTAAAAACCCGCAGATGCAGCCTGGGAGAATTCTCTCCAGTAAAAGCGGTTTTAGATTGTCAGTTTGCATGGCAGAACTTTTCTAATATGAAAAGTTCAACACATGGCTAAGAAGACTAATGAAAACTTGAAGTGATTCTTCTGAAGATAAACCCCTTTCAGGTGTGAATGGGAGGAAGCTTTCTGAACTTTTTTATGTGTGGTATTTTCAGAGGGAAGCGTTTCACCAGGCTGAATCTACAGATGTAACTGAAACTTAAGCATTATAAACCTGTGGTAATTTAACAACATCCTTCTGAACATGACATCGTCCTAAGCATTGAAACCTTTTTCCTGCTGTTGCTTTCCTACTGATGCATTCCTTTTGGTTTTTATGAAGTTTCAATTTGCAGAAAGACAATAAAATATATTTGAATCCTCAAAATAACATGATTCCCTTGCAAATCCACTTTAATTAAAAAAAGCCTCTTTTCCCCATAGATTACCATTTTACAACTGAAAGAGATTAAAGGTTTTGTAAATACAGACATTTTGCAGCACCTCCCTTTTCCTTTAAATAAAAAGCAGTCTAAACATCAAGAAGAAGGCTAAATCATTTACTGAATTGTGCATGTTTCTTTATTTGAGTAATCTCACCTTCAGTCCATCAACACCTGGATTTCCAGCAGGCCCGAGAAAACCCTGAGGGGGAAAAAACACAAAGGCTTTTAGGGGTTTCATCACATCCAACCATCACATTGCATTGAACTGAACAATCTAATATACAGATGACAATGTACTTTGTAGTTCCACTTATTAGACATTGTCCATTGGTCTCAACACATTGGAGAAAGTAATATTCTGTTAAAAAATGTTAATAAAATAAAACTATATGGCATTACCAGTGTGTGCTGATCTTACGAGTCAAGCCAGAAGAACTCATATTTTAAGATTTGTTCCGTTATGGAGGATGCAGGCAGAGGAAAACACTAACTCTTATGTAAACAGAAGAGGAAGTGAAAAGAAAAAGCCTATAAAAATATATACTGTTAATCATATGTTTGCATGCAGTCCTCTAACTTACTAACATGAGTTAGACTTTGAGGTTTCAGTTTGAATGAACTCCCACTCTCTTGTGGTTTGCTTATGTTGGCTATTTGTGCTTCTTTTCAGAATAAAAATGACTTATTGTTACCATGGTCACTTTTATAGATGGATCAGAGATGAGTGAAACCATGATACATTAACTTAAAAGGAAATATTTCGTATATATCCAAATATATACCTTGGGTTAAGTTTCTATTATACATATACATTCAAAAACATGGCACTCTTATATATGATCTTACTTTTTGATGAGGGTTTGCTGCTGATCGTGCTTATTTTATTTGTATTCCTTCCTTTTTAATGGTTTAGCCTTTGATATTGTGTTTCTTTAAGAGGTGGATAAGTATGTATAACTCATTTTTGAAAAAGTAGTTACAAGTACTGCATTTAAACTTCAGGAAAAGGTACAAAATTAAAGTTATGTACAACATCCCATTACAGAATGGTATTATATTACAATTATTGCTGCATTACGTCCCATTTAGCATGCACCTGGAAATAAAATGTGCTGTATAAATAAAGTTGTCATGCTTTTTTATCATGTCATGACACCAAATCTATCCTCAAGGTGATGAAACAGTGCCCCCCTCTGCTAACTACACGTATATCTAATGGAGCTGCCTCAGGCCTGGCTTATGAGTCATTAACACGGTGGTGTGTCATCATTGACCCCTCCACACCCCCAATTCCCCCCCCTCCCCCGCTGACGGGAGGCCCTGCCGACAGATGACAGCAGACAGGAAGTGTCTGATTGGGTTACACTGAACAAACACCGGCAGCTACCTGATGGCTGGATAGCATTCACATCTGTTACCCACATCAGCTCCTCTGTTCTCCGTCTCCTGTCTCGTGTTGTCCGAGCTTTAAATCTCCTCTCGTCTGTTTACCTGCCCTGACTGTGGCCCCGCATCACTGATCTCGAAATAAACATATTACACCCAGCATATTTTTCTACATCCTATTTTTGCAACTGTAGCACAGTTCTGATCAAATTCAAAACATCACTTGGCTGCTGGAAAAATTGCACATTGTAGAGGATTTAGAATATTATCACCATCATTCCACCTGATGAATAATCGTGTGTATGAGGCTCACTGGCGGTGAATGTAGGGGATTACTTTGGTCGTTGTTATTGTTTTTTTGAGTTCTCTGTAATTATTTTTTCTCTTTGTACATACAAACAGTACAGAAGAACACTGTCTCATTTGTATGCATATATTTTGCTTTCCATCTCTAAATGACAAACACTGTTTATGCATTGTTGAAACGCTAGAAAAATATTTTTGATGAAAGAATATTATCACCATCAGCATTTAGCTCGGTTCCTCATAAACCTTGCTCATCAGGAAGCAATTCTGTCTGTAACCGGGTAACAACTCCCTTTCACAATGAAGTCCTAGACATATACTGTACACTGAATCTGACTAATCCCAACAAACTAACTTATAAATAGATTGACCTTCTTGTTCATGTAAAAAGTAATGGTGGCAACAACAATTGGAAACAATAAGGGAGGCTTTTTCCCCCTTAAAAAAGCTCATAACGAAAGCTCTTATTCAGTGTGAAATGTCCTCATGCTATCATCCAGTATACGGTAACTAAGTTAGAAAATCCTTTTTCATTTGATTTGAGCGAAACCCTAGAAACTGTTCTCTGGACTTACCTTCTGCCCTGGTGGCCCCTCGGGTCCCTGTGAAGGAGAACAAGACAAAGGAAGAGAGTAAGTGGAAGGGAAACGGAACAAAAAGCTGTCAGAGGAAAATATGATTTCCTCAGCAGAGAGACTGGCAAGGCTTCAGCAGGGATTTCATTTCAGACAGTGAGCTCACACCCTTCAGGGAGAACGGGATCACAATCATTCCCTTGTTGTATTCTCTTTTCATTGAGCTGCACCATAAACCTTAATCTCTCATGAGACCATGAATAACATAACCTTTTATGGTTTTATCCTTTATGCTAATCTCTTACTTTATGTGTTGTGGCGAATGTAAAACTTGTTCCACGTCCAACAGTCCAACACATAGAGGTCCATTATCTAGATGTTGGAAACCTTTTATAGCCAATAAGTTAAACAAGTAAAACAAGGTTCCATGTCTTCAACAGATATTCGTAATGTGATGGATGTGTCTGGGAGGACAGTTTCTGTTTTCAACGTGCTGTTTACCAAAGTGAAACCAAAGGCCATGTTGGACCCTCCTGCACTAGAAGAACTGATTTACGAACTAGAAAGCAACCTGAATGTTAGTTTGCTTCATGTTGGCTTCGCAAGACTCTGCACTATTACTGTAATCGCAGCAGTTCATCAACACCTTCGCGCCTGGCCGTTATGACACCTCGCGTTGGCCAACATGTTCTCACCGTCAGCTCCGGATCGACAGCGAATGGTGTTATTTGGCTCATCAGGCAGACCTCGTACCCCACAAGCTCTCGTCAACGACAGCTCTCCTCGCTTTATTCAAGTTGATGCAGTATAATTGGCAAAACCTATATGATCCCCTGATGAGTGTTTGCGCCTTTATTCCAAAAAAGCCATCAAGGACACACTGAGGTTGAAAAATTTGACTGTCAGTGCACATTTCTGTGAAGAAGAAGTGTAGTTTGGTGGCGGCCAACTTATGCCTTTCGGCCAAATCACCACCGGATGCTTGGCTTAGCTAAAGGTTGCACAATGATGGCCAATTCTCTGAGAATAAACCTGGATCTTTCCATATCTTGTTTGTTTTTTGATCACCAAGTAACTGAAGCACACAATATTCCCATTCTTACATTTCCAAACTGTATAAAACTTGCCTCCCTGCAGCAACAAGTTCTCACATTCACAGAAACGGCTCTCACAGTTGCAGCTCATTTATAATGCATTCCATCTAACAAATACCTCAATGAACAACTTTCATTATCCCAGCCGACCAAGAAGGTTTTTCCTCCGCTTGCCTTTAAAAGCCTTTGTTGGCCGTCCTCAGTAGGGTTTGGTAAACATCTTTATGACCCTCTAGGTATGTGAGAGCATGTGCCACTCTCCTGAGCGCTAATTAGCTTGGCTACATCTGAGAGCACTCAGGAGCTACTGGCAGAACAGGAGACTTTCACAGCGTCAAGGGCTCTTCTGGAAGTCCTTTTGGTCTCAATGTGGGCTCTGTCATGACCAACATGGAGAATAATCCAATCATTTTTTATTAAAAAGGATAATTTTTCTCAACTAAAAGTATTCATGATAGCCAATACTCAGCATATTGCAACTTAGTTGCCTGATTTAACCGTCATAAAAGAAAAACAATCCACAAATGTGCAACCTCGACAGGACGCCTATTGAAGTAGAGCATCGGAGCACAAATACAAAGCACTGAACGTTTTGTGCTTCCATTCATGACTCGGAAATGACAAACAATGAAGCAATTGCCAGGTCAATTCCCACACTCAGTCTGCAGTTGAACCCTCAGCCACTTGAGAAACTTCCATAGTGTGTTTCTAGCTGAGCATCAACAAGGGGAAATACTTTGGCTGTGTTGGAGCTTTGAAAGTGCAGCCAAAAGCTTCACTGTTTAACTTGTAAATTATTTGAAAAAGGCTTGACAACATAATACACCTATTTACATTAAATTAAGGTACTTTAAAACATTTTGACAAGCCTGGCCTTATTGTCTTAAGTTTGACCGATGTAGCTAAAGGTTAGCATAACATAGCGCTCACCACCATCACTGCAGAAGTTGTGTTCTTTATTTAAGCTGTCTACACTGCTTTTCATTTTCTAAGACCGTTCAATGACACAAGCTGTACTTCTACAGCAAAACTGCAGCTGGCAGGAAAATGGTACATTCTGTAATAGACCACCCAATGAAACAGGTGGAGTGTGCGCCTATTTTATCCACCCCTAAAATACTGTTTACTACAGTTTTATGTTAACACATTGCCAAGTAGTATTTCTAGGACTGATGGCTTTAACGACAATCATTTACAATGGATAATCAAACACATGGCACATTTTGTCTTTAAAAAGCTGATTCTGATACATTTCAGACCAAATATATAAGAAATCCACTGTCTTATGGCAACAATAATTACCTAAGTCAATGAATGGAGTAGTATTAGGAATTATTCTATACTTTGGGGTGAGGAGGAGGCCTGGTGATAATGTTTACCAAAACACAAATCGAACACATTAAAGTTGTATGCCGTTTGGTGGCTCAAATAAGGTTTATTGTTGTGTGTCTTCAAGGAGAATGATGACTTATAACTTGTCAGGGACCATGAAAAGTGTTGGCTATTATGGGTTAGGGTTGGTGAATAGCCTCACATTGGAGAAACTGGCAGCAGATAAGCGATATGATGTACAGCTTCTAGGGTAGGGTTGTAAAAAAAGACAAATAATGAAACTTAAAGAAAATACAGATTTTTCCAACCAAAAAAAAGTATTTTTGCCTATTGTTGTCATCATTTGCCAGACATTTGTTTGAGTTCACCGAGCATGTCCGCAGACATTTCCTCACATCTTTGCTCCTCATTTCTGGCTTCACATTCAAAGGAAAATCAGTCAAGGACACCAAAATAATATAGGTATGTCCTTATTATAAAAGGCACATTAAGTAAATCCGATCCCTACATGCATGCCTGGTGATCATTTAAACATATAAAATAACTCACTGGTGCATTGTGGGTAGTTATGCTATGCAGAGAAATTCTGCAGCAACATTTGAATTAACACCAGAAAGCGGAGTTTTTGTTATTCAGTTACAGATGGATCCCCTCATGCACCACTGGTTTTCTATTTAGTCTTTTTGAAGCAAAATCAAGTCCCAAATGAAAACTGTGTGCAAGGCTGCAAGCGCTGAAGACCCCCTAATTTACCCCAGAGAGACCTTATGGCACTGATGGTTTTGAATTGAGTCCCACCTCCCCCCCTCCCTTCTTGTTGCTCCACAAGAGCTTAATCCTTCTAACCAGCACCATATGTCCGGGGAGGCTGCTGGAAAACTCTGGAATCTACTTTTGCCTTTTTTAACAATAGCATCTACATCAAGAGCTCCGTCAAGTGGGCGCTATAGCTCCTAAAGCACGGTAAAAGAAGCAGCAGTATGGACTGTTTGAATTGTGCAGATCCAAAAGTGCCAAACAAAGATGATGCTTTCAAACTGGAATCTAGTTGCCTTTGCACATCTAATACATCTTCAAAGGTGAATCAGATGCTGTGGGCTGGTTTCTGGATCTGTTTTATGATCATTTACAGAAACTGTTCTCTCCAAACCATTATCATATCTTCTTTTTCCACCCTTCATCACGATGATGAAAGATAGAAACAAAAGCTCTGAAACTCCTGTGTGTTTGAGCGGCCATGTCACAACACATCTTCTAACAACCTGTGGGACGTGCTCATCTCACGCTGAATTGGAGGGGGATTGATTACCCAATGATGGCGTTATTCCTTATTTAAAGTACATTAGTGTCAAACTGTGAAATAGAATGCTTTACTTCAAGAATTGCAGTGAGCAGCACTTACTTTTTTGTATTTTAAGCTTTGCACGAGGCTTCGTTTTGAATGAGATTCAACATTAATCTTTTGGAGTAACACTCCAGCTGCTGTCATGAGCGCTTGTATAAGCACTGCAGACTTATGGGAGTGCACCTGGGACCACTGGGAAATGTATTGCAATTTCTACCACCGTGACACCATGCATTTCAAAACAAAGCTGTGCTGCTTACACAGTGATGAGGGATCATGGGTAAAACGTATAATCAAAGCTTAAACACGTCAGCAGCGTAAGAGCAGAGTGTGTTAAGTTAACAATTAGCATGTTCAGCTCTCACTTCTTCTCTAATTAATGCATCTCTCTCAGCACTTTCCATCCTTCATTTCTTTGTAGATTTATTTCCAAACCACTAACTTTAACTTTTTCCACTCCATGGAAAGGGTCAGAGATGGAGTCAGAGATGAAAGCGCTTGATAGCACCTCCTCCGTCAGCTCCACTAACTCTCCCCTGCACTCGTGAAAACTGACATCACCGAGTGTTTACACATGTCACGTTTTCCGTTCATTCTTTCTCTTGAATTGGGCCCGACCTATTGGATGTAGCTTTTATGAGCAAACGTTAATCAACTGCTTTCTTTGCTGAACACCACAAGTGGTATTTAGGCACTGTTAACTGGAACAGCTTGTCCCTACTGTATGACTTTGTGAAAGTAAACAAACATTGTTTAAAGTGTGTAAAATATTTCATTAATTTTTACGATTAAACACCCTGTGAATTTCTTCTAAATTAAATACCTAAGTGGCAGTGATTGCTTTGGTAAAACACAGGATAACACTTAATGAACAATGTTACCAACACCATTTAAATCAATGTTTTCTTTCTCACACATGTATGGTTAGCAAATTAAACGGGGCCAGCGAACAGAAACGATATATAAAAATAAATGTATAGTTGTTGCCCATTTCTCAGTGGAACAAAGGCAGTCATACATCTAAAACATTCTCAAGTCTCTATGTAATACATGAGGCTACCTCCAGCAGGCTGTTTGCTTAGTTTGGCACAATGACTTATATTAGAGGAAAAAAGATGCCTACTTCTCCTCTAAAGCATAACAATTAGAGAAGGTACTATGGCTATCCATTTTGAGGTTCATATTTCTATTTTGTGCCTCTATTTTAACATGATTATAAGCCTTAATGTTTAAAAAGGTCTTTATTTGTCCTCCTCTGTCTGAAACTAGAGCCCAGTCAGCTCTGATCGGTTAACCGCTTAGAGATGTCCCACCCCTTAGCCTATCACGTACAATGTGTTGAAGCGCTAGCCAATAGAAGCACAGGTGTTACGTTGTTATGTTGCAATGTTACAGAAGTCATCAAAGGAGTCCAATGGGGGCGTTTTGGGCAGGGGAGGAGTGTGTGGGAGAGAAACTCCCTCATGTTGGAACTTAGGGTTTTTAGCCTCTGCAGACCATTATCATGCACAAAAACCTATACAACATACAGGAAGGTAAAACCCCGAAAAGCACAATATTGGCTTTTTAAGATTATATATCATAATCGGGAAAAACAACAAAGAAAGACAAAGGTTGTACTTACGATAATTCCTATTTCTCCAGGCGTCCCTGGATCTCCCTGTGAATACAAACAGCCAGTTAATGGAAGAGCAGACGGCCAAGTCTTCCTTAAAAAGTTGAGAACACGCATGGAGTTTTAAAATGATCGTAAACAGTATTGCGAGCATTCTGGTGAATTCATAATGGTGTTTCAGTGTTTTAACAGCAGCTGTGGTGCCAGGCTGCAGAGCTCAGCGTGGTGCTGCTCTTATACCAGGGTTGGCTGTGAGCCTTTCATCACACTGCGGCACCTGCACGCTTCACTGTCTCTGGCCAACCACCCTGAATGTAGTCTCTGCTTTCGCTTCAGGCCTGGCTGGATGTTCCTGCAGCTCTCGGGGTAGAAGAGGGACATAAGCTGTGGCCATATTTCTACGCCAAATCCTTGAACACAACTCAATTTCTGTCTCTTTGTGACAGTAACAGGGCAATTCCTGCCACCCTCCCTATGTGGGATTCATAGAAGGAGAAATACATCATGGGAGGAATAAAAGCAACCCAACATGAAAAGTTTAATTTCTTGGACAAAGACAACATCTATTACACTGGAAGACTGCAAACAATAATCATCATAAAACAACAACTTGGAAAGCAGCAGATAAACAACACTTAATACTTTTGCACTCCCACACTGAAATGTGCCAAGACAATAAAGATCAGCTGGAGCCTCGGAAGGTTTTATGGCTGAACATAAATGACAGGCCTTCTCTGTTTATCCTTTCTCTCACAGGCAGAGTTCACATAAATTAATCTGATGTCAGTGACAAGCTTAAAGACATGGAAAATGTTACGATATAATGAAAAACAACAAAGAAAGCGTAAATCTATAGTGAGGCGTTCTCTTGGGAGCATGTTCATGTTCAGCTCAAGACATTAAGGCAATTTAGTGTAGTTTGTCTTGTCTTTGTTAGAAAAGTTTTCACAGAGATAAACCCTCCCGGCACTGGGTCAGAGTCAAACTAAATATGACAACATTAAGAGCTAAACTAGTTTTTCTGTTCAGTTTAACCTTCATCCTAGTTGTGGTTCATTCCAATGTTTCATGACTTTGTCAATCAACTTGTTCCCAATGACATCGTCCTGTTTTTAATTTCACTATGGCTTTTTAAAAATACCAATGTAACATTGGTGCGGTTATTTATATCAGTGAATTCAACGCCTTTTAGACTTATTAAGTGTCTGCGGGAAACCAAAAATGTTTTGCTATAATGCCTGTTTCTTACAGTACTTCATTCATTCGGTAGTTTTTGTATGTTAAATATGGAGCCTGTCCTCTTCCAGAAAACAACATAAAAGGTTGTTTGTTCAAGCAGCCTATTACGACCCATAGTCACGTTTTAAAGTTTTCGATCTCTGTCTCGGTCTGCCTTTTTTCAATGGAAAATCTGAAATTGTAGGATAGTTTGGCCATTATAATGCTTTTTGATTACATTTCTGGCAAGGAGTGTATATTTTATTTTCAGAATCTACGTCTGTTGGATGTGTAGGATCTTTAGTTTGATAGATATTACGAAGATTATTTCAAGTCTCGGAGTATAAATAGAACTTTATTCTCCCGATTGATTCAGCGATATATGTAATACTCAACAAATAAAAAAACACCAGTTTGTCATTGTTAAAACCCTCTCGCAGGATTATCTCCGCAACGGATAGCTCATCTTATAGCTCAGCGCAACATTTAAGTATGCCCTTTGATACAGTAAGGACAATAATAACTGCATTAACTGTTGGCGGACTTGTTGTAAATATGCTGTTAGACGTCAGTTGAAAATGAATACTCACTGCTAGACCAGGTACACCTCTGGGTCCGTCTTTCCCCGTGTCCCCTGGAGGCCCCCTTGGCCCCGGAGGACCCGGTGGCCCCGGAGGCCCCGGTGGTCCAGCTTGCCCCTGATCTCCCTGTGTGGCAAAGCACATTTAAACATCAGAACTATGTGATATTAATGAAGCCGCTGAGAGTGCAGCCTCTGCTGTTAAATGATGATGAAGAGAAAGTGGTGGAATTAACTTGTGGGTGGCTATGGACTGCCTCCATTCATTACATGGAGGACATTTTGCTAAAACTAGCAGGCAAGATGGAGATGAAATGTATCAGATTTATAGCTGAAACAGTAATCCCCTAAAAAGCATGCATTTCTAAATGGACTTAATGAGTTTAATAGGGGCTGTGCATAAGACAAAACGTAAGTCAGATTCGTAGATCAATAATACAAATACACAGAGAATGTGTGGTCCATTTTTATAGTGGATTATAAGAAACTCTAAGAAAATATCTAACTTACAGGGAGTGTGTTTTAAGTAGAGCCAGGGCAGTAATTCATGCAACATTAATACTCCCTTATTTCTAGAAAGAAAATGTCCATATTTCCCTTTAACAATAACAGAAGGAGTCTCAGAGTAGAGTTATGACAGGTCCGTCTGAATGGTTCGCATGCAAACTGCAGGACGCCAAGAGAGAAGTGATTATCGGTGAGACCTGGTACGACAGACAGCAGAGTGAGGACACAGCCACTACCTTAATGAGACGCCGCTTTATGAGCTGCTGGTCAGCGGAAAGAAAGCCATGATTGATCTTAGGGAAGACCATCTGAGCAGGTGTGTGAGGTCAAGAGGTCGAAGGTCAGAGATGAGAGAAGGTTGAAGGAGGATGAGGTCCCAGAAGAAGAAGGAGGAGGAGGAGGAAGGCAAATGCAAAAAGAAACAGATTTGTTAGAAAGGCCAGTGTTCGTGAACCCTGGTCCAGCGCACTAACAGACGGGGGAGAAATCCACAATTTCCAGCACAGAGGTGGTTTGCCAAGGAAGTCTGTTGTTTTTGTACCCATAATTACCACCTCAGGGGTGCGAGGGCGCCACAGCGGGCTCGCACTCCCCGGAACAATGGGAATTTCTCCTCCTCTGTGAAAGCGCTGTCATCATCTTCATTGCGCCTGATGCTCAGTCAGATCCTTCAGCTTCACACACTGAAACCAGTTGAGGTTCATTTCTAACCTTGTTCCTTTCAATGCTTGCATTATTCTGCTCGTGTCCATTGGTATTAAGTGGCTTCATCCAGTGCTGAAACAAACCCCCGAATCCTGAAGGGCACATTGGTTGGGTTGGGAGGATTTGTGGTGAACCATGGGCATGAGCTTTAGAAAAACATTTGCCACTTTGGTTCATTATCGAGTATTCCTATTGGAGTTCTTTCCACTTATTTTAGCATCAATGGACACGAGCCAGACCATGTCTTCTTGTTCCAGTCAGTATTACTGGGTTGTTAAAGGCCACCTTTGCTTTCAACGGGGAACCTGGCATGTAGCGTGGAACCGAGTTGAAAACTGGTAGCGGCAGTGGGGGGGGGGGGAAAAAGCTAACGATTGATTGGCTGTGATTAATTAGATGGGTTTTTTCTGTCCATCATCGGGGCTTAGGGGAAAAAGCAGCTGACAGTGATTCATTTACTCCCAGTGTGTGCTGCCGAGGGGTCGGACTGAGCAGCTGGGCGGCACCAACACCGACAAACCTTGACAGTCAGGATCTGATTGCTGTGCAAAGCAGCCAGCGTGGGGAGACCAGGCAACCCCTACAGGGACAAACAGCACAACAGGGCACAACACACGACATCAAACACAACGACCAAAAAAGGAGGGAAAAAAACAAGCATCATACTTAAATATTCTTACAAATAGCTGTTTAAATAGCTGTAACATGCAAGGGTTTTTCTTGAAACTAGTTCAAATGTAACTGTTTATTACATTTGAGAACATTTTTGTTTTAAGCATTCCTTATTTCAACTTCACTCTCCACAACGACAAAGCATGCACAATGGCACTGGGGTCTTCATCTGCATAGAACATGCCACAATGTCATCGTTAAATGACCACTTCCTGTTGTTTTCTATCAAAAATACAGACAGAACATTTGTAAAGATGATTATCATAGACTGCTGGTAAATTTAGGCGCTCTATTGTTCGTAGAGCTTTCAAGGAACATCAAGGGTTTGGGATGTTCACTGGGAATTCAATCAATGGTTTCCAATTTCCTCTTCAACATGACAGATGTGATCCACTCGTGAAAACTGAATAAAAAGAAGAAAAGCATCGGGACTTCTCCTCGTTAAGAGGGGTTTATAGCTGGATTTTAACTTAATCTGAATCCAGAAACATTGACATACTGTCAGATAAACATGCTTGAGGATGTTTCATTATCATTTTCCAATGTTTTTGCCTATAAAGATTTTTATTTCGTTGCAGTTTATTGCATGCCGGTCAAAGGCGGCCTTTGATAGTGACAAGTCCTTGACAGACATTTCCAGTAAAATGTCCTCTGAACCATGAATTGAACATTTGCAAAATCCCCCCGAAGAATGCTTGTCCAGTCGTAGCTTAGCGAAAATGATTTAGCAGGGCAGGGCCAGTTTTCTCAAAAAGCCAAGATCCTGTGTGGCTGTATTAAGAGTGATTTTAAGAGATCAAAGGGTTTGTTTTTTGTATCCGTTTTAAAACTTTAAAAGTACTTAAAATGTCAAGCAGTAAATGTGTATCAACAAAAAGCAAGACAAGTCTAGCAACTTAGCAAACGGTTAAAATGTAGCGGTTTTGAGCTTTAATGCTAAGTATAAATAAGAACATGTGAGGATTGCAGCACATTGATTGTACACTGATTGCATTTTCTCTTGTTTATCTTCACGCTGCAGGTTTAGCTTCACAGCAATACCCAACCTGACTGAAAGTATTTCTTAAAGGCTGGCACTCTAGCTTAAACATGCCCTGTAAGAGATCAATCTCCCTCCGCATTCGAGCTTAAGATAAAAATCTGGTCTATCCAAACATGGCTTAGGTGCCATCCCTCTGGTTTTCCAAAGATAATTCAAAAAGCATGGCTCATTAAGAATATGGCTTTTAAGACAGGCTGATTTAATTCAGCAGAACAGAGCCATACTCTGACTTATACTGCAGACAATAGCCATGCTCTGTGCAAAATGGGATTGAAGCGCACATATTTCAAAAGTTATTTACAACCTCAAACATCTTGAGGACAAAGAAGGAAAACAACAACTGGATTATGGTCAGAGACTATAGAAAAAGTCCAGGCATGATAATGTAGTGTGGCGCATGCAGGCTGGCACTTGTGACAGTTTTCTGGGTTTTGTCCTTTTCTAATTATTTTGATGCATGAGCTTTGAAAGACTCTGGAGAGATGTCGACAGCATGTTGACGAACTCACTCGCCAATGTGTGTTTGAAATCATTATCTGGCCTAAATAGTTTGACCTTTCTCTAAAGAGAGAATGGGGAAAAGCTTGCCTATGGGTCAGTTCTCACCCTACGTTGCCACTGCATTGACGTCCATGTGTGAGTATGATAATGACATGGCGGTTGACAGAGAATCCTAACCATTCACAGATCGCTTTGTTTTGCTTTTCTCCTCCAGAACGGATGCTGGTTATTTGGGGAACTTCTACATATTAGCCTGCAGCAATATGACTGCAATTGTAGTAAACAAAAAGCTGTATATGAAGACAATCAGCAACAGCCGTCAAAGGACACTGGCCAGAACCATCATCTCCGCGACCACACCAAACACACAAAACATCCCGAGCAATTTCAGGCTGAGGCATTCTCTGAATATCTATATGTGGAGTGGATTACCAGTCCTGTGCACAGATGGCTTTAATACGTTTAAGAAGGAATAATGCATTCATCTGAAGCCTCAGATTTGGCATCAATGTGATACATTGCATTTGGTGAAGTGAAATTAATGTTAAGGCTTCTTATTTCAAGTACAAACGGTCTACTGCATAACACTTCTGATTCACGACTGGAGGGTAAAATCCTGGAAATTACATAATCACAGTTTACTTTGGAAGAACAGTGCAAATTGGTCAAATCCCACAATGTGAGAAGTAAAGTCCAGGACAAACTGGGGAAGATTTCTATTTAAATCTCAGGAATGTTTCCTCTAGCTGACCCAGGAACCTCTGTGTGATATATTCAAGTGGTTTCCTTTGCACGATACTCCTGATATCATGAAATCAACAAAAATGAATCTCCTCAGGCCTCAAGCCAATTGACTCATCTAAGGCTCCAAAAAAGAGCAAAGAATGGCACTTTTTCAATGGAAAAGCCATCTTTGCTTTACCATGAGATCGACATATGATTAATCCAATTATCTTCTAACAGATCCTGCCCTTTCCTCAACAGCTTCTGTGTAAAACACCATCTGGCCCGTCAGGTTATGTAGCTTGTGCCATCCCTCAAAAAGACCACACACACCTCTCATGGTGACGCACCGAGACAGTAACGCCTGTTAATTATACCCCAGCAGTGGAGCTCCAATGGTGGCCACACATTTGTTGGTCAAAAATGGTCAATTTGTTATTTGTTGTTTGGGTAACCCTTGTCGTTTGGACGTGGCCTTTGACCTCCAGAGTCGACAAATGGGTGACCCTGACATGTGCGGAACAGGCAGAGGAAGTGTGTGGCCATGTGGAAACTCTCAAACTGTCTTGAGTAGACCCTAGAGACAATTAACATAGTGTATGCAAATAGTCCAAGCTTTAAATGACTCTAAATCTAAGTCGGATTAGATTTGATGATCATTTCTTAGTAGAATTTTGGATCCTGTAGTATTTTTGACTTTTCATTTGAAATATCCAGAATATTTTATATTGTTTTGTTAATATTTTGTATATTGATATCATATTTTGCATTTTACTTTTAATTGTCAATTATATTTTCCACTTTCTTAAGTATTTTAAGTATTGTATTTGAATGTCAGAACACACTTCTGCTTCTGTGACGTAAAATAATTTCCCAAATTGGGATCAATAAAGTATCTATCTATCTATCTATCTATCTATCTATGACTGTGGTGTGTAGAGAACATATTCCTAACATGCTCTGTTGTTTAAATAAACCTCCATATGGGTTCCATATCATCTCATTTCCAGACTGAAAGAGCTAAGGTCAGACAGTCCTGGTATTCCACTTATTCATGAATGAAATTGTTCTAATACTGTTCCACTACATTTACCTGCTAATCTAATGTGCAAAGTCAATATGCTATTCTGCGGAGGTAATATCATTTGCCAGTGACCTAGACTGCTTTCATGCGCCTGTAGTCCTTCAAATGTGACGCTGCGTTCATTTGTACCTGTTACGGGACAATTTTGCTGTAATTGGAAGTTAATGAAATGATTTCTCGAAGTGGACAGTTTATTTATCTACTCTACAAAACAAATACCGGCTTGCTGTGGGCCTGTTCCAATCCTGTCAGCCACACTGCTGTGTCTAAATCGTAAATCATTTCACTGATAGAGACAGATGACTCCATTTCCCAGGTTAAAAGGGTACAAATTATGAGCAAAACCCCAAAATTCTATCCAACCAGAAATAGTTGACTGTGGTCAATCCAACCAGAGAGCAAAGATATTTCCTCTCTGCCTGTTTGCAGTGGATCCACATTTACTACTATCTCACTTTGTATATTATTACTAAAGGATATCACAGTGCTGGAAATGTATTTATAGATTGTAAAAGTGTGAAACCACTCAGAGATCCACAAACTCTGTGAACTTGGCTGTCATTTGAGGAGGATGTGTAACATAAGATGTGTCACTTTGAGACCACTAACCAAATTTCGCAGGGAAGGTCGTTTGTATTGACTTCCAAATCATAAGAAATGCAAGCAGCACTGGCCTGGAGGAGAACTGACAAAGTTAATTGGCAAACTGCTAACGTCTGGTTGGGCGCCAATAGAGAATTGGGATCAGATCCGCCTGGGAGATGGCTGGTATTCTGGTGACAAGACAAACCTCTGTGTTGTTGTGTTCCCTGTCCTGCAAACTCCACATGCTCTCTGCCCTCATGGAAATCAATTATGGCTTTAAAGTGATTTTTGACTGCATACGATCTCCTCCTTAAGACGGCAGATATAGGGGGAAGTGAAAAGTGTGTATATGTATGCGCACATGTGACCCCACTTAATGCAATCTACTTTAAACAAACCTGTGCAGTCATAGTATACTTTTCTGAGAGGGCTCATTTTTTAACCGTTATTCGAGAAGAAATTAGGGCTAGTTGGAGATAGAGCAATTCATTTCAGAGTCTGTCAAGCACGGAAAGGCACTCACATCATCATCATTTAGATGCTGCACTTTCATAGAAATGTCAAACTACAGAGCTGGAAATGATTAAAGGTCTGAATACGCCATGTCACGTTGGGGATTGAAGTGAATCACCAGTAATTATAGAGACAGAGCTAGTTTGGCTTTTGATTATAACTGAGATTGAGCAGATATCTTCTGCTGATGGGCAAACGCTCGTGCTCATATTGAAGAGGTAAAGAAAAGGTCTCAAGAAGCATATCACCCCCTCGCACGTTTGCCTGCCAATTCTTGATGTGGAAATAAGCAGTGCTGAAATGCTTGTTGTCTTTGGCCAGATGGGAAGAACACTATCCCGGGAATGTCATGCATCTCAAACCTTTTTGCCCACAATACTGCCGGGGGAGACACACACATGCAGTCACATCAGCTAATCACAAGAAGTCAGAGTAAACCACATACCCGTGGTCCCTGGTCGCCTTGATCCCCCTGCAGAAGGCAAAAAAAAGAATATATCTTTAAATGAGGACAAATACTGAACAGAAACAAGCACAACGCAAGTCATAAGCGGAGACTCGCACCGAACTCACGGAGGCGTTATTCAGAACACATTGATAAAGAAAAATAATACAGGAACCCAACTTGTGGTTGAGAGTAAAATCACTTATGATAACATGGACTGACATGAATTGGGTATGAGGGAGAGAGAAAGAAAGACGGCGGCGGTGTGAGGTTTGGTGGGTTTGAGGTGGGTGGGGGGGGTTACGGGGGCTGAGTGTGGGCGAGCTGCATTGCCAGGCCAGATTTTATGCCCCAGAGATTGTTGGCTTTCTGCCGTCTTTGGGGGGGGATCTCTGTGGACGGAGCACATTTCTAAAAAGGAGAAAAAACACTCGGTTTCGTTTCAACCTGCATGGCGCACACTGTGGCTTCATCACATTAAAGTAAAACCGAACCAAGAGTACACTTTTGTTTGAAACAACTGAAGGAAGACCAAATGTTGGACACTGAATTATAACCGCAATCTGTCAAGAATCGGATATCTGAACACCCTTAAGTCATCTCATCAGACGCACTTCGCTCTCCTGTAGACCACAGCAGTAAAACGAGCTGCGCGACTTATCACACCTGGGAATTTTGTCAAACAAACTTCAATGGAAAGCCTGAGTAATTTCAAATAAAAAAAAACAGCTCTCATTTTTTGTGGGGCAGTCGTTCCAAAAGCAGATTTAACGGGGAAACAGTTGTGAATGGCCACAATGATGCACGCTGTATTCGCGTTGGGTGGGAGGAACCCACACAGTTGTTTTTCATTTCATGAAACTGCAGATGAATTGGTTCACATGAGAGACATGAACATGCATCTCATCAGCAACACTGGGGTGTTCACATGTCATAACGATTCTCAACGATTATCTAAATACGGCTTCTTTTTTATGCTTTGAGGGGAACCAAATAAGAGATTACACTGTTGATTAATTACTTTGGTCAGAGACAGCAACCAACGTCATTCCACACCCCGCGTAACCAGAACATCTGTTACCAGAAGAGTGTGACTTGATGCACATGACAAGTGTTTCTCTGTGTTCAACTTTAGCTCTGGTTAGCACTCTCACGCTATTTCATTTTATGTTTTGCATTTTATGGCATAATAATCCTTTAAGTATAGTGGGTTGCTGTCCAAGTTGATGCTCACTTCATCCAAAATCTGAATAAATATTTAATGTTTGCCCTGTAAAACAGAACAGATTTTCCCCAGTAGCATTTTAAACTGTAAGTGTGCGCTTTAAGCCACTTCCAGAACGAGTGAATAGAGGGGCTTTGCTTTGAATCAAGGGATGTCGTTATGTTAGTGTTTCAAAGCAAAGCCACGTGCACCCATTTGTCCCAAAGTCCTGCACACTCATAAAGAGACAGTGTGGAGACTTTTCGCTGCTGTTTTATGGAGGGATGCTCAGCGAGGCATTTAAGGGCTCCAGCTTGAGATCTGGCTTTCAGTTTCAGTGTTGTAGATGTCTGAAGGACCGGAGAATTTAAATATTCAGGATGGCTTTAATGTGGGAATTGTTGCAGCAAATGCAAAAGGATAATAATGAACAAATTAACAGTGAAAATGCACAAACATCAGGCTTCATATTTCTTACAGAGATAGTTTGAAACATTCTGACATATTCAATTTCTTGCTGATACTTATACAGTAGGGGAACATTGATGTTTGTAGAACTAAACAGTGGCTAGTGAGATTGTGTTACATGTGGACACAACAACGCTAGCTGTTCCCCTCTGCTTCCGGTCTTTGTGCTAAGCTAAGCTAATTAGCTATTGTCTTCAGCTTATAAACATGGACATGAACCTTCAGCAAGAAAGCAAATACTACTTCCAACAATTGCTTTTAGCAGTGGAATAAAATATCTGATTTTATCAACATTTACACAATTGAAAAATACAACTAAATATAAAATGACTCACCTTTTCACCCTTGGGACCTGGAGTGCCCTATAAAGAGAAAATAAAGAATTGTTTAAACACATGGAAATTATACACTATGGTCCACGTTAGTCATTTGTAATCGTTCTGAAGTATAATACAATACAACTGTAAAACCAGGGCGACCAATTGTGTTAGCCGATAAACAAACAGAGCTGCTCAACAAAGCTTGAACATCATGAACTTAGAGGGAAAGGTGAAATCAAAAGATTAACAAATGTAATTTTTGATTAAACTAACATTGTGCACTTTTTGACATCGGTTTCAGAATTTGATTTGAAGGCCCTGTCACAGTTTGGGAACCGGTACCTTATATAGTCGGCAGGGGTTATACAAACATACAATTAAAACCAAAAACAGGCCCAAATCAAGTCCATGTTTACGCTGAAGATCAAATCCAGCAACTCCAACCAAGTGTTGGCCAGCATATTGTAAAAATGTGCCCTGAACAAGAGGAACACTTCTTTGTTTTTTCTTTTAAAAGAACAGCAGTTTTTGTAAGGCAGTTTCTGCATCCAACTTCTGTCAGTCAGCAAGCAGGGGATCCTGGGTGGGCTCCGTGAAAGAGTGGAGTACAGGATTCGACAATGAGGTGTGCATCCTTAAGCTGCAGCCTACTGAGCTTGTGCTAAAAAATACTTTTTTTTAACATGGATGAAGCCCAGTATGCTGGACTCCTTTCTTCCTCTGGGGTCGCACTTTTTGAAAAGCTGGCTCTGGAAATCAGTATTAGATCAGAGTGACTGACTGACCAGCCACTTGGCAACAAACTGACAGACTGCTGTGCCATGTATGCTGATGTTCATTTTCACATGAGAAGCTTTCTGTCAAATATATTTAGTAAGATCAAAAATCGAGGAAAGATCTGAATCTTCTGCAATCACATCCAAAGCCTGGGGAAGTGTGCATTTCTTTATTTGTCACTCCCAGATAATGCCAGGTACTATTTGGCCTCGGGTAAAAAAAACAAGTTGTTCATCCGTGACTGTGGTGAATGATCTGCAGTGGTAACTTCTCCAGACTGAAACTGCCCAAACTTTACTTTTCCAAAATACCAGACATGCAAAAAAGCGTGCTGACACAAAGTCATGGTGTGATGACATTAGTATACGTTTATTCCAAAGAGACAGCCTCGTGTGACCCTAAACATTAAGCTGGCAGACAGACAGGCTTCACTGCACTCGCTTCAATGTCAAGAGGCAGTCCAGCTGTTTTCCTCAACCAATTTCTACCACAGTGCTCCAGTTAGAAGAGTAATAAGCTGCACAGTGCATTTGGACCTTATTCTTAATGCAGAGTTACTATTAGTAGCTTTTTGTTTATGTTTAGCGGTGCATGTATTACCAAATGGATCTGCACTAGGCACATCCTGCCTTAATTCTGAGGCTATGAACCTGTACAGCAAGCTTGTGCAATGCAATGTCACAATAACTGTCAAATGTAGGGAAACTGTGTACACATCAACAATAGGCTGATGACACACACACACACACACACACACACACACACACACACACACACACACACACACACACACACAGAGGAGGTGGTCTTGCTGCTTACTTGTCTGCCCATATAAAGAGCCACAACACACTTGTAAACATAAAATGCACCATTATGAAAACAATGTTTCCGATTGTGGTTCCCTGGGGGGGGATAATAGAGGCAACATATTGGAATAAAATGCCACTTTTACTTTTACAATGTTGTAGATGTATTCCAGAGAGGCTTAATAAGTTTCCAGCATTTTCCTGAAAAATGCAGCAAAACAAAATCAGTGCCTGCTTTTTGTTGTGTAGGAAAATTGCCTGTGGACAATAGAAGGCTATTGACAAGCTGTTACTGCAAACATATGAATGGCTGCAACAAAGAAATTCATAAATAAACCCACTGCAGCGTTGTGCACAAGCCAGCTTCACACATTTTATCTGGCATGGAGGAATACAAATAGCTGGCACACCAAATGACTGAGCCAAATGACTGGGCACCAGAAGTTTGTGGGAAAAATTAAAGCTCTGCTTGACATGATTGAGCATTTAAATAAATCCAGATTGTTAGATGATTAGTAAAGCCACAGTTAAACTTGATACAATCCATGTGCATATAAAGCATGTCTATATTTGTAATGAGGATGTAAATGTATTCAAGGTGGTCACAGATCAAAAGAGCCTTTTTTTATCTGGGATATCTGTATTTATCAGTTTTTGATGGACCCCATAATTTCAGATAAAGTTGTATTTTAAACCTTAACTCTAACCCTACTTATAAATAAAAAGGCCAAATGTAAATATATTAATATTAGCTGACTACAAATATTATTTTTTTCAGGGTTAGGCCTCCCCAGTTTGGAGGGCTCCAAACTGTTTGAGCGGAGGCTTAAAAAATATGACATTAGCCACAATAAGATAGCCAGGTAAATATTTTGTTGAGTGTCTGCGATAATTACAAACAAAATCAATTATTCTTCACTGAGTAACTGCAGACAGTAATCAGAGGTATGCTAACAGACATTTATCTTTATAGATGGGAGGGNGGGGGGGGGGGGGGCACATACAGAAAAGGGCAGTGGGTCAAATTTGAGGACTACATTCAGACATGTAAGTTTCATTAAACTAGTGATATGCATTATAAATAGTTTATTTCTCTTTTGATAATCATAAATGAGTGATTTAAATACAAAGGCTACAATCAGAAGTGTTTGTCTATTTATACTACAGGGAAGGAGTAGTGCTTTTAACACAACTAACTATGTCTTGCAAAAAAACGTCATTTATCTGTTCCATCTGCTCGTAAAGCATGTGGAAGTGATTTGGCAACACAGTCTGCACCTGCTCATTATACGGCCCATCATTTGCACATCACTTGGACGGACAGCACCCACCGGAGCCTTTCAAAAAGCTTTAAGCGAGTACAGTGAGTGTCTTTTATGGAGACTATTAGCTCTCCTGCAAAGACTATTTCAGAAGCAGCACACTGTGCTACAGTAAATCTGCGGCGGGTGTCTTTTTGTTGAGCATTCTGTGCAGTTTTTGTGGTTTGCGGCTGCCTTAAGGAAGGTTTCTCATCAGCACCTGTGTGTTTTTCACATCTGCTTCTGCTCTGGCTCTTTTTCAAAAGCAGCCCTCCAGCATCAGGTGCTTCTGTTTGATCAAACCTGCTCACTGTGCATTACTTTGTTGAACACCTATCGTACCTGCAACACGTTTACAATTAGATTACTCTGGATTCTTGAATTCTTGGCTCCTCCTTCGCGTCAAAAGGAGCCAGTTGAGGTGGTTCGGGCACCTAGTAAGGATGCCACCTGGGCGCCTCCCTAGGGAGGTGTTCCAGGCACGTCCAGCTGGGAAGAGACCGAGGGGTAGACCTAGGACCAGGTGGAGGGATTATATCTCTTCGCTGGCCTGGGAGCGCCCAGTCAGAGCTGGTTGATGTGGCCAGGGAAAGGAACGTTTGGGGCTCTCTGCTGGAACTGCTACCCCCGCGACCCGACCACGGATAAGCGGGAGAAGATGGATGGATTCTTGAAAGGCCATTTTCACATCTCAAAACTACCCTTACCAATATGGTTAGATGAGTTAGGTTTCCTGGTATGCTTTTCTGCACGATTTACGAACAACTAGTAGCTTGAATGACATGTAAATTGGTTGAAGGAAGATACCTAATCTTAATTATAGTGGCTGTTTTTTCCAATTACATCGTTCTTAGGCCACTTGCAACGCAAATTTGAGTTCTGACTCACGTTCCAAAGCAATCAATCACCTTTAATTTTAAGACCCAATTCAATCAAAGCAGGTAAGTCTTGAGGGTTTATTCAAATAAATCACAGCTTCTTCTCTCCCTCTTGGCGGTCCACTACCGACCCAAAGACACTATAAAACTGAGTGGTATTGACCTTTTCGTGTTATGCTCAGCAAACAAGCCAATATTTTAGTCTTTCAACATATTTCTATAGGAGCCAAGATCTGTGCTATAAACATGTGTGCATTTTGGATTCGATTACACTTTTACTGTAAGGGTGGGACCAATTATTTCTCAGAAAACCTCTTTAATTTAATTTTAAGTGCCCGTAATTGTCTCGAAAAATACCAAATGCGTCTGTCAAAAGAGTTATGATGAACAGAATGCAGTTGCCCCAAAGCAGAAGCCCTGTATCCACTTATTGAAAATGACACATATCGCATTGATGGTAAGCCTCACATCTTCTGCTGCTTAACGCTGGGCAAACTCATGTCAAACTCCATGAGAAGATTTGTACCAGAACATCCTGCGTGCATGATATTGTCGAGTTTATGGTGGACCACTGGATCAGGATTAAGCTTTTTTTCTATCCTGATACATGACTAGCTTCTCGTTCTCAGCCAAACCATGACCGCTATCTCCTGCAATGGCCTGAATGAGCTGTTGGTATGAGAAAAAAAAGGCGGAACCCCCTGCCACCTTTAAAACAGAAGGGGGGAGAAATATGGAAAGGACTACAGGGAAATATAAAAAGGAAAACGGAATTGGCGCCAAACCCGCAAGCAGCATGGACATTCAGATCTGACAATGTCAGTTACTTCACTTCATATTAGACGAAGTGAATGATGCTCAATAAAATGATCCTGGCACATTTCACATGTGGCCGATAATCAAGATGTGAAAATATTGCACAATTATATTTTCCTATCCTTTGTTAGCTAGTCTTTCATTATGAATTGAGAACAAAATGTATCTTTATGTTACCGTCATTTAACCTGTGCCAAACAAATATTTACGGAAGATGACTCTGCTGCTTTTCATAAGACCAATAATGGAAAACAGATTTAAGTATTGTAATGTAACTTGGAGGCGTGTGGTGCAGTGGGTTGTGCGTTGATGTTGGGACCAAGGGGTCACAGGTTCAAACCCCACTGCAGTCAGCATGTGGTTGTGTCCCTGAGACACTTCACCCCAAATTACTCCTGTGGGGATTGTCCACAGTATTGAGTATGTAAGTCGCTTTGGATAAAAGCGTCAAACAAGTGACATGT